ATTGTTGCGATGATTTGTCGGCATCTTTGTTCGACTTGTCAACGTTCCGCAGTGTTTCTCTCATTGAAACTTGTTGCCTCGACGTAATCTCAGTTTCAATTAGAATTAGTAGTATAGCGATAACATCGCCCTTCTATATTGTGTGTAAGCTGAAAATCCCATCGTCATCTTTCCATTAGCGGAACGCATTGTTCTTGATCAAAGCTCGCCTCGATTCTGTTACACGCAAACTATGAAATTTCCTTTCCCTTAATTGTCCCCGATCGACGTTCGGTTAGAACAACGGGATCCCTTAATTTATTTGCTGTGCGCTTGTATGTTGCCTGTTGTTGGGTTAGCTTGTCTGGTGTTGTATGTCGGTTGGCTTCGAAAGGCTGATGTACGTGAGAGACGTTAATTGATGTCTAGTTCATTAAGTTAGCTAAATTTTGCTTTCCTCGAAATTTTTAACTCGACAATAAACTGATATCTCCGGGAATTATGTTTGAGAAATATTGCTTCATTAATTTAATTAGCAAGATTATTCGAAACTACGATACTAGCGATAAACTTGTTAAAGCTTCCAGTTAGGAGATTAGGTGGTTTCTGATATTTATTTTCTTAATAGCCAACCGTAGAATTATTTGTACATCAAAATTGCATCGCCCGGGCAAATACCTTCGGTATTAACCGTCCCTTTACTTCGCTAGCTTCGCGTATCCCCATTTTGCGACGAGAGTTAATCCGCAGTCACGTCCAGTTCTGACCCACTTTATTACCTCTTATCCATCTTGTAAGGCTTTAAATGGAACGTGAGCGTTTGGCCGCGAGTCACCCTCGAGTTACTTCATCGTCGCGTACTTCCCTTACAAGGTAAAATTTTGGACGATTTTTGCGAATTTTATTAAAATTTTATTCAGTTGCTATTTTATCTTTTGTTCGCACGAACACTAATAAAATTTGTGCTAGCTTTGAAGGAATTGTACATTTGTGGCTGGAGATATAAATTTTTTAGTAGCGTTACCCGCTTTATTAATGTTTAATATGTTTCTTGGGATCTTGGAGACTCGTTTAATCTCCACTCCGTCGAAAGGAATATCTTGTAATTCTGCTGACCGACCATTTAGAGAAACCGTAAAGACGTTTTTACGTCAATTGCAGTAAAATATGCTCCTTCTTTTTATGACGGTTTTCATTTGATTTCAAACCTTTTTAATTAAAAGTATATTTCCGAATAACTTACCATCGTTGTTCAGCATTGGAACAATCTAAAGCTCGAATTTCCTACATAAATCGAGCGGGTACACACGCCCGGCCAAAGGACAGCGACACATTTTCTCGGAATTAATTGTTTTTGTCAATAAAACTTCTGGGTCTGCGACTGTCGGTTATTTGTTGTTTGTGCGACCGTTTGATAATGACATTGCGAAATGGATGGATAATACCGTATACGTGCACAAGAAGTAAATACCTACCATTTGTTCCAGACAAGAAAGGCTTAATTATTGAATCTGTCTTGCTTAGAAAGTGGAAATGGAAGTTTTTAGTGATTAATTAGTTTGTTGTTTGCGTTTATACTACATAGCTGTATGTGGGTAAATTAATAGTGGTAATATTTTAAAGTAACTAATTATTCTACTAGTAGATTTTTTAAATAAATCTTAAGTGCTTATACTCTATTATGTTGTCAAACAATTACTCTGTTACTCATTAATGGTTTTTATACGTATAAAGGAGAAATTCTGTGAAAGTATGCATTAAATTTTCCTTGAGAGTAAATAAATTCTCTTTGAACGTAAAGTACAAAAACAGTATTTATAAAAAAGTATTCAATAAGCAACCGTATTCAAAGAAGAAAAAAACGAGGAAATTCCATCGAGCCACTTTATTTCGAGTAGGTAGGTACGAGTAGAGGGACAAAGGAAAACATAATTTTCCTTTCGGTTGGAAAAACGAGTTATCACTGCGAACTTCTTGTTACCGCGGAATCGATGCGATCCGTCACTTTCATATCCAAAGCTTTATCAAGTTGTCCTCAGAGGACGAACTCCGCGAACTGCAATTAAATGAATTTCATTCCGGAGACAAATGGCATCCGGATACAAAGGAAGTTTCCTTAAGATAACTCACTGCTGTGTTTTTCCTTTTCAACTTTTATTTCCGCTGTATAAAAGTTTACTCTTGAAAGTTAATACTGCGTATTAAAAACATTTGGATTCGAGCAATTCCAATGTTCTGTGTAATCAATGTATCAAATTTATTTTACAAAAAGAATAGCTCCGTTCGACTAAATTATGATTTTGTGTTGAATGTCTTATTTTGTATTAATAATTAATAATATCAACAACAAACATTACAACGATATTTATCAATACCGAAACTCTATTACAAATACTTAAATAGTCAATAAACTATAATTATTATTAAATGTACGTGAAATTGCCGATTATCTCGTGCAATATAACTAATGAATTTGCAATTAGATACTCGGCATATTTAGCTCTGTAAAATTGTAGTGCAGGAATAATTGCAACCAGGCCATCTGATTAACGAACCAAATATTAATCGGCATGCATCAGATTTGACAGTCGAATAAAACAGTAATTAGTTAATTACAGGAAATTACCACTTGATACGTTGAAATTCGAAACTTCATATTTTCTATATTATGTACAAACTGTTAAAGCGAAAAATTAGTGTAATTTCATTTCATCGGACGCGAAGAAAACGAAAAAAGTTTAATAACTAAACTCTTTCAAAATCCGGCAATTTATTTGAATAATTCATGTCTGCGGGATTCGCTGTGTGGAAAAATCGGAATAATGTATCAATTCGACTGTAAAACTTGAGGACACTTATCAAAAGATTCGTCACCGCCAGAAATGTCCTCTTTTTCATTACGAAACTCGACAGAGCAATTGTTCTGGAATTTTGCATATCTTCTTCGTCCATATATTTTCGTTCAATTCCATCGCGACTAGAGCGCTACCTATTGACTGAATACTGAATGTTGGCTTTTGCATTGTGAGAAAGACATTTGTTACAATCACAATGAATGGTTGGAGGAGGTGAAGGTGACAGATCCGCATTTATCTTCGATAATGTTAGAGGCTAGTTTAAGCGGTCGATTTCGATCCTTTCATTTTATGTTTTTTTTTGTAATATCTGCCACTCCCGAATTCGAATTTTCCGGAGCCAATTTACCTTCACCTTTTATCTACGTTTATACACGTAGAGCAATAGAACAAAAACGCGAAATACAAAATAACGATCCGTACGAAATTACGTTGCATTTCCCCTAAACACTTTGAGAACATTGTCTCTTTTCCTCAAGAAACTTTTAACTAGATTTTAAGTCTGAGATACCACCGTGAAACATTTTCCTGTGAATTTCAAAGACAGAAACCGCTCGGAATTAGATCTCTTTTCTTAGATATCGCCAAGTAAAACAAGAAACATTGCGCTAAAAATCCCTCGTCAGTAACAAACAGCGGCGGTTATCTTCACAAGGGATTCTCATATCAGGTGGGGAGATTGATGCAAAGTAAGTTTTCTCTTCACTAACGTCTATCCATCAGACAGGAAATAGGGAAATTCCAGGTCGAAAGAAACGAGAGAAAGATATCATTTTAAATTTAAATAGAATTTGGTCAAAATCGTTCGCACTTAAACTAATAGCTGTTATTGGTTGTTGGTAGTATTCATGGATGTCAATTAGGTTATATTAGAATATTAAGTTCCCTCCTCAAATTGGGAATAATTATTCATGTAGGGATACACTGTAATAGGGGAATAAATCTGCATTCGTAAACATAACCTACATGAGCCACGCCTATATAACCCATATTAAGTTTCCTTCGGGGGCAAATCTAAGCCCAATATTCCCGTTTCCCGTTTGATTATAGTTTATGGGACTGAGTGAATTAGGAACTAATCTTAATTGGCAAACTGATTTAACCATGCTGCAAGCATGTGGAAAGGTGGGTGCTCAAAATATTTAATATAACACACTGAAATTTATAATGTATAAACAATTTATCGTATGTGCTTAATAGCCTAAATTAAATTACCTAAAGAAAAAGTGTACGGTTATTATGTGATTGACAGAAATAAATTTTTCCTTATTTTTCTATAATTGTTTGCGAGCCAATAAATTTCGTTTTTTATTTACAAAAAATTACATACCTAACGATATACGATCAAACACAAATAGATAAAAATACAATCAACAAAATACCACAAACATTTACTGGTTATTTATAGCACCGTCAATATCAAGAAATTACATCAAAAATGAATTAACTTCCGTACAAGATCTAGATACAACATTAATGTAATTAATTTTGCCTTTTAATAACTATATAATAAAAACTTTTTTATGAACCCTATTAGATGAATTCGAAAGGTGCAGATGATGATGATAATAAAGCAATAAATTTAATGATGATTGTAAAAGAGGAATCAAGTATAAAAATTTAGGAATGCTCCTCTTCAGGACGTATGCAATCTCATAGACTAGTAATTAAGCAGTTGTACGTAGACACTTGAGATGCTCCGCTTTTAATGCATTCGTATTGATTCCCCATTTCCCTTAATCTTCACGACTGAATAATCAAGCAGGCTGTGAGGCACACGAATCAACTAGAATGTGTCTAAATTAGGACGGTAATTTCCAGGATAACAACCGGTTAATTGTGTGTGAACCGACAAACGGAGATTCCACGACGCAACGCCCCCCCATCTCTAAGTTGTTGATCCACGAATAATACGGCGAATTGGGAAAGTGAGGATCAGATCCCGTCTTGGGAAATACAGGCAAATAATTCGGAAATATAAATCAGATTTAACTGTAGTGTGCGGCGCAATTTCGAGGACGATTAGATTGAGGAACCTCTTATAAGGGGTGTGTGTCATTTGTTAGTTACTTTTGTATGGAAAATTATTACTAAACTGATGAATTTGCACATAAATGAACTTCTTAAAGTATTTTCTTTTTTAATCAAATTTATTTTTTTTTTCAGGATACTTTTGGCATATAACAGACCTTCATTACGACGGCCACGTCATTTTCCACGGAGATGCACGAAAAGGTAACAGATTACACAAAAATATACTTAAAATGTCGCTTGTTGATGTGCCTGTTTCCTTTAAAAATCCCTCTCATTCATTTTCAATTAGTTCGTTTTTCTTTAATAATAATTTAATTCGTTCAGCGTCCCTTATCATCCGCTGACCTTACAATGTTGCCGTCTGTGTTTACTCTTTCCACATGAGTCAAATGAAAGAAGTTCTCTTTTTGTTGTCATTTCCTTCGCTTTTTATTTAAAACTCCGCTATAAACGTCAGCAAAGTAATTGGATCACTCTGAGCTGCATCTACCGTTTCATTTGGACTCATTACTTTCTTGTTTACTCCATCCGATGCCGGTGCCGTAAACGGAACTTCAAGGAAATGAGCTTTACTCTTTTATCCGCGATAGATGGAAACTTATGGTATATTTACTTGTGGCGTCGTAAGCAGCGTTTTCCGAGAGAAAAGAGTAATTACGCTTCAGAACTAAAGGCATGTTGATCCGTTACTAAGATAATCTTAATTTCATCTTTAGACATTTTTTCGATTTTTCGTCCAAAACGATTGATGTTTATTGAGAGGTATAGTTTTTAAGGAAATATGAGTGTATATTGAAAATATTTTGCATCTCCTACTGATATTAGAAATTTAATTAAAGGGAATCTGAAATCCGTTTGGTATAAAAAGAATGCAATAAATATTATAAATGATGCGAAATCTTCCAACAATATCGAACAATATTAGACTTTATGGAAATAATATTGGATGGCGGAGATAAAATTCAAATAAAATTCAATAATATTTCCGATAGATACGCTTCGTGCTATTCCAAAGAGATATGGGAACACATAAAATTTACTTTTATCGTTTTTGGTTCGAGATAAGTCTTTTTAATTTGTACAATTTAGAGATAACTTTAGAATCGACTTAGTTTGGGGTTAATCAGTAAAAACATCGGCCAAGAAGATAGCGTAAAAAGGAATTTATTGCGCTCAAGAAAAGTTTCTGTACGGAAATATTCGTCAAATTTTTATCGTGTAAGCAGATTTAAGTTTCTTTTTAACTTTTACAACCTGGTTGTTTTGTTGTTACAAAACTTTTTCTCTGTGATATACACTGCCTATGTTATGCAAAACATCCCTCGCAAATAAATAATTGCGCCGTTAATTTTAATCCTTGTATCTTTCGTTGAATATTTCAACGCTTTCAAGTAGATATCATTAACATTCGGTGTAATTAACTCCGGCATATTTTTCGAACTGAAGACCTTTCGTGATAAGCTCAACAGTCCACTTTTAAGTTTCGATTGCATTTCTTAGGCTGGTAGTACATCTTCATTTTCCGGCCGTTGCGTGCTGGATTTTCCAGGACACCTTTCCGCGCCAGTCATTCACTTCGTTTAACTTTTAATTAATAGGATTTCCAGAGTGGAGAGTCTCGCGAACGGCAGGGGTTTGTCAAGTGGTCCATAACAAGCCCATCGTATCGGTTAAAAACTGTTGGGTAACAATTTTTTATTGAATTTTTGTGGTAATTAGTGCGGGATTCCGAGGGTTTATGATCGACTAATTAAAAATTAAAAAATAAAATTGTCATTTTGTAGTTTTTACATTTTCGTCGGGATTTATTTTTGGAGTAGGTACCTACCCGAAGCTAATTAAAATTTAATTAACGCGGTAGGAGGTGTTAATTATCGCTTATTATTTCCAGGTTGCTGGCGACCAGATTACGATGGGATTAAAGGCAAAGGTGCTAGGAGGCCAATGGGAAGGTTCGGGGACTACAGCTGTGATTCCACTTGGGAGCTTATCGAATCCGCAGCCCAACTTATGACGACACGACACTATGACAATGTTGAGTTCGTCTTATGGACAGGGTAAGTAATTGATTCAATATTCAATTGTCATTACCTACTAATGTTAAGTATTTAGGATTTAATTTGCATTGGAAGCAATCAGCAATATTAAGGATGTATTGATCACTTTTGCAGTAGTTAATTCCACGTTAAAGCGCTTAAAATATTTATCAATGTACTCTATTAACTGACCTATGCTCATCCATCCATTCAACCACACGAACTAAACGTTTTCTGCGAATGAATTTTCCATTAAGATACGTCGAGATAGCATGCATTGAGATTCCGGTTTTGTTTATTCTAGATATTAGCTTGTTTACTACAGATTCCGTTTTGTTGTCTTAAGTTTTCTGTTTTAATTAACAGTTTTCATAGTCTGGCGTTTTCTCGCGCTTTTGCTATCGATTCCGATCGTTTCATTTGCATTTTTATGTCGAAGGAAAACCCCCACCGGCAATTAGACACACGAAATGGGCTACTTTAAATCTTCACGAAATAGTAATTAACGTCTTAGTTTGCTTTTATGTTTGTTGAAACTACGAAATGGGTATCAAAAGAGAAATAAAAGCTCTTAATTTTATTATAGTTCGAAGGTTTCGTTACTTCGTGTTAAGAAGACGAGATTGTACGTGCTCTAATAAAATTTGATAGTTTTACTTTTATTGTAAATTTTAATGGATTTTATTTTTATTTAAGTAGAATAATTCGATTAAACTTGTCGCAGTAGGTTTCTTTAATTGATACCTATTACAAAAGTGTTGTAATAAAAACCTCAAATCGATTACAACCCTGTGATTTTCATCGACGTCGAAATTCCATCCCGATCCCTAATCCTACGAAAGGAAAATAGAGATAGAGAAACAGTTCTATCCAATGCTCAGACAAAGGTCACGTTTCTCAAATGTATATATCTATGTGTGTGTAGGTTGGGAAAATTTCCTCCTTTCTCTTAAAAAAATCTCATTTTCCGCCAGATTTTACCCTCGGATTTAAAGATTTCAGATTTTATTGGGTTTTTTACAGCGGAGACGAGCGCAGTTGTGGGATGTGCCGGATTTATAAATTTATTTTTTGTAGTGGGAATTAGATACTTGTGCTTAGACACGAAAAAGAAATACGCGTTTTTCCCGCATAATCATTATTGTCAGGATTATTTTATTTCTTGCAGGGACGGGATGTTTCATTCGGCTCGGCGTCTGCCAGAAACGCGCCAAATGGAACTCCTTCAGAATCTCACTGATCTATTGGGCAAGACTTTCAAGTCCCAGTTCGTGTTCCCTGCCCTCGGGCACGATGATCCCTTTTCGCGAGAGGAGCTAGCGAAAATGTGGTCCAGGTGGTTGCCAACTGATTCCCTCAAGACCTTCAAAACAGGTAGGCTGCAAATATATCACCTTTGTTAAGCAATTAGGATATATTACCTTCCAATTTTGGGCTGGTTGTTTATAAGTTAGGCAAGTTTAATTCAACTTGATTTTAAATTCCATGTAGCTATAATCAAATATTTCGAACTAGGTATAATTAACGTTTTTACTTAAATACAAAGTCAATACCATATTGTTTTAATTAAAAGTTAAGTAAGTAAAAGCCTCTTCTTTGTTGGATGTATTTTTCGCCAGTATTGGATATAGGTACCTGTGAATAAACAATCTTCTTAAAAGGCTTTTTCGGCGCACCCTTTCCGATAACAATTTCCGAACTTCACAAGTATTAAAATACCTTAAATAATTAAATACCTCTCCGTGTTTTCTGAAAACAAATTACGAATTGGGTATCGTTCTCGACCGACCCGACCTGGTCTCGGTAAAGTTTGTTTTTCCGGTGAATCACGTAACAAATGACTTCTTTAATTAGTTTTGTGTACCTACCTCCAGAAAACTTCGATTCTGTCAATATAATTCGTTTTCATACCGAAGAAGCGGCGCCGTCGGATCGCTCGTAATTGGATCTGTTTCCTTAGATTAGACTTGAGTTTTAGTTCGGGACATTACGCTGAAAAATTATTCCATTTAAACTTTTAATTATATCTACTTTTAATTCGAAAAAACTAAGTTGTTTTGTTCGAGCGAATCTATTATCCCCGTAATGGTTTAAATAGAAATAAATACTTTACTGTTGCAAACATTCCCGTAGATGTCGTGGAAGTGAAGCTTTCAAATAAATTACAAACAATTTTTTTCTTTGGATTAGTATTGAGCAATCCCGGACATTAAAAATATCCATCGAAGCGAAGCGATGTCCTGAATAAACTCCAAATCCCTATATTAAAAAACCCCAAAAAGCGGTATTCATCTTCCTTTATTTGCTGCATGTCACAGTTGTTGCCTTCCATTTCAATTATTAAGAATTATTCTAACCGAAATAAAATATTCTCTTTGGGAAAGTCGACTTGTATGTGCGCCTCCCCGTTCCATTACGCACCAAAATTTATGCGAATATTAAATTTTCTTCGGACACTTTTTATATTGCGACTAGAGTTTATAAGGAGAGATGCTGACACGTATCACCTTACTGGCAAGATATATATCTCGACCGCCCCTACTTTAATGCTCCTGGCGGTATTTTTTATTCCAGAGGGGCGAATAGCATGCAGACGCACCTTGCGTAGGTAATAGTCCCAATTGCTCCCTTTGCGTTAACGACTGCGCCAATTTTTATGTATGATTCATACTTTATTATACCTTAACGACCTTCATTTTATTTATTTTTATTGTAGAGGAGCTTATGGTAAGCTTGTCTCAAGCGTACATGAAAAATTAGAAATAAAACAAACACTGTAATGTAGAAGTGTAGAGGTTTGTTTATAAATCCGCGTGAATAATTAAATTAACGAAACTATCTAAATTGGCCAGTGGAAAACGTGTAAATCAAAGTTTTGGCTTCGCTGAATAATTTAATATAATTTAGCAGGCTACGAAATATTTATGGGTTAATTATTATCCGGAGACAAATAAAACGTATTTAGTAATTCAACGAAACGAAATTGTTTATAGAAAGTTCCCTAATGGCTTTTTAAATTTAACTTTTATTAATTTATTTTATATTATCCCAACAAAACGATTTTCAAAAAGAGATACAGATATTTCAAACTCGCCGATGGAGCCGTCGATGATACAAATGAATTTAATTGTTAATTAATAAAAATACTGCTGTACGAATATCATGCGTCAACTACCATCAACCAAATCAACAATAAACTATCACTTTAACTGAATTTTGACACCGGATAAACAGGATAAATATGAAATGAAATGCATTCAGAATTATGTGTGCTGAGTAAAATGCAAATATCGACACATAGAGCTTTTCTAACAAAATCGTTTCTGTCCAAATAGGATTTTTGATTGCCTCGTTAGAGAATGCGAAGCTTTCACGACCGAAACGATTTTTTTATCCCTAATCGAAAATATTATTCCTTTTTACTTTTTTTGTAAAAATTGTAAAAACTTGCCATTTCATTTCATATGCAAATATCGAAATTCTCACTACAATATTCATTTTATATCTAATTAGTAAATGCTGGTAATAAAGTAAATTTAATAAAATCTTCCTAATCGCATACATCTACAATTCCACTCCAAATTATTCCATAGAATGCTCTCGCTTGGAATTCTCCGACGATGAAAAAAGAAGTTTACGACAATAGTACAGAACTTTCGGTTCATATGCTGGGATTACTTTTTCATAAACGTGCTCTCATCTGATCCCTTATATCCACGGGAATACCCCTTGCATATAAAAGGAGGATTACCGGCGTGGATAAACGCGTGGTCATTTTGTCGAACTTATCTACGATTTTTCCGAGCAGCCGCAAGGAACTGAATTCTGTATGAGACCGGTGCTTGCATGATTACGGGCATTAGCTTTAAGTATAGTTGTGAGTTATGATGTTCATCATCATCTAAAGTTAGGTAGTATGTCCATTGTATTTTTATAGTTATTAACTGAACACAACTAGTAGCAAATATTAATCAATATTTTTTGATGTGTAAGCATCGATTTGGGCTGCCATTTCATTCCTCGAAAACATTTGGAATTTTATCCGAGGTGTCGCTCAGAGAATTTACGAGGTTTTTCGCGGATCACGAGGGCAAGCGCGTTTTATTCGCTCTTACAGGTCATAAATTTGACGGGGACATTCCGGCAGAATATGAGAATGAAGATTGTGCATATCGATCCGGTCGAAAGACCGGACAGGCTGATGCATAACGTTCGGATATTCGCTGGAATATCCTCCACTTTGACGAATTTAATGTCTGTTTGCCTATGGAATTCGTTACGGTATCCAAGTCCAAGCAAATTTCATATGCGCGTTCTACGAATTCTGTTCAAATTTCAGTTGGTATTAAAATGTATTTTTGTTGCAGGTGGTTACTACATCTTCGAAAGAAAAATGCTCAAGTTGCAAATAGTCGTTTTAAATACGAATTTAATGAAAAGATCCGACACGGATCCAGAAGCCAACCAACAGTGGGTTTGGTTGAAAAATGTCCTCGATAAATTCAGACGAAACGGGGAAACGGTTAGTATAAGCACAATATAAGCGTCTAATTTTTAATTCCGAATTTAAATTGAGCAATCATTTACACATTTAACGTCCTGTTTTTTAATAGCTTATTAATAGAGTTAGCGCAATTATACCTTATAATTAAATTCTGATGCAGTTTAAATTCTGTGGAGCTTCATTATTATTTATTGCCCTATTATGTGACAACGTGGGGCTCATTAAATTCAACGGTCAATAAACTCGCTATAAAAACCGATAATAATTCTATAGCAAAAAGTGAGCCATCGTGTCGTCACCGTAGAGAGCCCGGTGTCACTGTGGAAAACTCAGCTTGAGTTTCATTACGAAAACGCCTCGGAAACGATAAATTCACTTAATCCGGGTTATGTGACAACATCGCCTAAAGCCCTGTCATCAGAGTCGACCGTGGAGAGGATCTTTGATATCAAGATTGGAAGAAATAGAGCCATTCTACTCGGCGAAGAGGAGCATTACACCGGTTTCTGTCAACTAAAGCTACCATTAAAAATAGCAAAGAATGTCTTTGTCTTTGGCTCGATGTTAAATTTCAAAGAAAATTACTTTTGAAATTGGCGGAATAACAGGGGCAACGTTTCGCTGAGGAAGGTGAAATAACCGCGTTTCTAAAAAACAATTAGTTTTTGTGTTAATTTACAACCAGTCAATTGGATTCAATTTTGTTTCAGGTGTATTTGGTGGGACACGTTCCTCCGGGATCAAACGAACGTCAACGAGGCGCCGCTTCGATACCCAGCCACTTTTCCTACGTAGATCACCACAATAGGAAATATTTAGAAATAGTGAAAAACTTCTCCAGCATTATTGCCGGGCAGTTTTTCGGGCATTTGCATTCCGATACTTTCAGGGTTATTTACAACAACAATGGTAAGTTTTCTTTTATTTTACTTATGTTTTTGTATTTGTGTTTGTTGAATATTTCAATCAATGAGAGACTATTAAGTATCAAGTGAAAGAAATTTTCCTTTTCATTTCCTTTTCCGCCCTTTCATTCGAGTTTCAGCGACTTTTAGCAATATTTTTAGTCACGAATGAATACTAATTGGACGCTATTCGCTCACTGTTATGCTTTATCGAGTGGATTTTACTTGAATAAGAATTGGTCAAAATGGATGAATTGTGAACGCAATGTTTCTTTTTATGTCTTTTTAGAAACGAAGCTATAAATACTAACCGAATCAACTACCTATTTTTTTATTCTCTTCTCAACAATTTCTTTATATATGCCAACTTCTAAACATTTTTTTTTATTTTCTTTTAACATTGAATAATGATTGTAAATTTAAATTGAACGTTCTCCCTTCTTTTGGCTAGGTAAACAGATTCTGAAAGTGAACGTCGAAAACCTTTTTCTTCGACATTTGAGCCAAATCCGCACACATTATTTGTATATTTTATTTGAAAAAAGACCGACGAACCCTTTGTGACGTACTTTTCCAACATATGCGCGTACGCTATCGGCGTATCTTATTACAAACGAAAATCAAGGAAACACTTACGGGCAACTGAAAAGAGGCAAACCGTATTTACTCTTTGATCTTAAAACATATATGGAAATTCTTTCCGATACGGGAAAATTGGGGGAACATTTCCTCCGCTCTAACGACGAGGGTCAAACCCTTTTTGTTCTACCTGAAACCAGCCGAATCGATTTCCGGGTAATTTTACAACAGAAATGCCGGAAAGTGATCTTTGAATTCTCATTTCAATTGAAAATTTAACAAGTAGGGTAACAAGTAGGTAACCTACCTACTACATGCATCATTTGATATATTCCACAAATTTCTTTTAACTTCTCCAAAAGATCGATAAACCTTGCCCATAGCACCGCGCCTCGGAAACTGCTGACACACCATTACCTTATTTTACTGGGTCAAACTCATTAAGACTCATAATGAATTCCGAATTCAACGATTATTATACAGTTGGTTATCGCTGCAGACCTAACCATACACAATGTTCATCGTTGGCTGCGAGTTACGGTTCCGGCTTGCGTTAGTTTAGCCACTAAAGCGACGAAAGCGACGTTAGTAAGTCCTACGCCGGAAACGTGACCGTAAAGAGGATAATAGTTGGGTTGATACTAAAACATAACACAGCAAGGGCCTACCTAGAAACCGATGTCAAACGTACTAGTATTTCATAAACGAAAAATTACCGTATAATTTGCCTATTGAAATTTACTTAAAACACTCGGAAATAATTACTTACTTATCTATTAATAGATCTTCCTATATCTTCAACTTCCTCTTCTACGTTTATTCGAGCATAAAATATTCTAGCCATTAAAATTAATACGTATTTGCTCTGAGGTATACGAAGTACTCCGATATTCGTTTTATTATTACAAGCGTAAAGTTCAATTCGCGCCAATTTATTCTGGTATAAAGTTTGTACTCGTTAAATACTTACTTTCGTTCTGTCCGTATTTGTTTTGCGAAATTCCAAACTATTTCTATATGTTAAGATCTTAAATTTTATTGCTATTACATTAGATCGTGCGGATTTTCTAGAGGTTATTTTTTGTTGCAGGAAAACCTATCTCGTGGGCAATGGTTTCTCCATCAGTCACACCACGTCGAACGAATGATGGACCTAACAATCCGGGATTACGACTGTACAAATTCGATAAAGATACCGGACAAGTAAGAATATTTTTTACCTACAGCTAAATACTGAATCTATTATAGGATATTTATTGTTCCTAATAATACAACAAAAGTACCGCATAGTTTACAAGGGAAATAAAATTACATTTCCTATTGTGTAACCAACTTAATCAGGGCGAATTCGAAAGAGGGAATAAAAGAAGTTTCTAGAGGAGGAAAGCTAAATAAGCGACGTGCAATCTAATCGTTATTTCGATTGCGTCCTTAAACAAAACGCCGCCGAATTTCCGCGATTTTCTCGAAACAACTGAATTTATTAGTCTTGTTTTCCATCCCTTCGTTTCGGCTTATTAGCGAACGCCGTTTATGCACAAAGAAATCCGTCGCCGAAATCCTGCTTCGAATTCCTTTGGAGTTCCGCTGCGATACAATGGTTAATTTTCATTAGAACGTCCCTGGCCCCCTACCCTATATCAGGAAGCTGCTATTGCTCGGCAATCAGTAGCGCTTCCTGGTGCATAGAAACTTCTTTTTCGCCGGCAAAAATTTTGTATTGGAGTTATCGATTAAAAGAGCTATATTTGATGTTACGCACACATAAAAATTTCGAGAGCAAAATTTTGCGAAACGCGAAACTAGCGCTATTAAAATTTGTGTACGTATTCATAAAGCAAAGTTAGTAATGAAAATAGGCCCGATTTTCCTCAAATTATATTTCATTCTAAAAACTGCTCTTTGTTTGACTAAAAGTCATTAAATTACCAACATTACAACAACCAATCCCCCTATATCGTGTTGCGTTTGAAACCAAAAAATGTGAATTATGAATTTTTTATTCGTACAAACGATATTTTACAGTTGCATTCACGCTTTGCTGGATTCATTTTATAAAAATGCCTAGTATCCAGGTTTAATATTATTATTGCGATATTCACGCTAGTAGTATACATGTATAAAATATTTAGATACCTAAAAAATATTCTGAAATTATTGTAGTTAAATTTAAAACTATAGTTTTCTGTTTGTTTAGCTATTCTGCAGAAAAGGAAAAGAGTATTAGAAAAGTAAACTATAATAATTATATAGAACAAACAATTCTAATGTCTTATTTTTGGATTTTTTTGGACAAAAAGAATATTTTTCGCTGTTAACGCTCTCTGTACACAGAAATTTGTTTTGATAAAGCCTCTGCTACAAAGGGAAATCCTTTTCATCATCTCTTAGGGGCAGAAGAGATTTCTTTTCGAGGGCAGAGAGATCGCGGCTTCTTTTCCTTTTGTGTCAATTTAGCCCTACTTATTATTCTCCCGTTGTTTGTCTTCGTTTAGAGTTTTTTGTAATTATCTCTTCTTTCTTGCCGAAAAGACGCGGTTCAACGGAATGCACAAACGGGCGAAATAACAGTAGTCTTTCGGCGCGGATGAAAGGAAAAATTTTGTAATTTCACAGGTTTCTGCCTTTCTAATCGTCAGAAAATTATTATTTTTTATCATCACCCAAAAGGAAAATACAATTTATACACAATTGGCCCAAGATTAGCATTAATAACATCTACTAATTAAAATCTATAATTAGGCTCGGGGTACAAAAGTTATCTCGCCTTTTCACTTTCAAGTTTGAATAATTTCAACATTATCTTCTGAGGGAAAGATAACGCTCTTCTGAATTATTCCGAAAATCCTGTTTTTTGAAGAGAATAGGTATCATTAGCGTTAACAAAAGTGAATTGTGAATTTTCTCGCCAAAACACAAACCTGCCTGGAGTTTTAATTAGAATTTTTCAATGAAACACTCGATTTCGGTTGATTCAATTTTGATGCAGGTTTACGACTACACGCAATTCTACCTGGACCTATCGGTGGCGAACGCCAATGAAAACAGATTAGCGGAGTGGTCAGTCGAATACAATTTCAGTACGTACTATTCTATTAACGAGATAAGCGCCGGCAGTCTACACGCCCTGGCAGACAAGTTTACCCAAGACAATCCTTACGGGAATTCTGTCTTCAACAAGTAAGTTCAATAATTTGATTTGGTACATTGTTATTGGCTCTAACAGGATCAATCGGAGCTGCAAAGGCTGGGATTCCATTACAAGATCCTCCGGAGATAGCGAGACTTATTGTCAATTGAACTTCGTCCTAACTTTCATATTCCTGTTCGGTTTGAGTAACCTTCAACAAACTTTATTGCGTTATTTATAATATACTGCAAGTGTGTTTTGCACTGGTAATTTCAGGTATTATCGAGCCAATTCGGTACGATTCAACACGAACCCATCGACAGGTTGTGATGCGACGTGTGCTCACACCCATTTCTGTACCATCACCAGGGTCGATTATGACCAGTTTCAACAGTGCATGCAAACAGCGCCCAGTGCTCTGTCCGCCTCGAGATCGTTCGTTTCGAGACCGCTGGCCATCCTCATACTTTCTGTGAGTGTTGTGATAAATTCGTTAGTGTGATAACTTTTTCTCTTAGAAGTAATTTTGAATCGAGTCAAGTATTGGAATATTAGACAATAAACCAATTTTTGAAATGATATAAGTTAGAACGGTGATGGCGGCGAAAGTAAAGGGAATTTAAACGAATATGAGACGAGTTGCATACAGATGCGTTCGGAAGAATAAATATTAAAGAATTGTACTCAGTGGTCACTTTCATTCATTTGTATAAAGTATTTTCCAATTAATTTGTTTTTATTATCTCTAAATTTTAATAATTGCTTTAGTTAACTATATCAAAAAATTTTAGTTCCATCATTTATTTCTTAATTGTTAAAATTTCGTTCCTGTTTATTGAAACATTTTTTAATCTGTTCTTCTAATTAATTGTAGTGATTCAAAAGTGATTTAAGAAATTTTATATACTGAATGTGTGAATAGTGCAAACTATATCACACGATTCAATATTTATGTAAAATATTTTTGTATATATTGAACAGAAGAAAAAAATTAAAATTATTAAAAATTATATAAAAGTATACTTATTGAATATATGTCTGAGTGTCAACAAGTAATAATGGGTTTTGGATTTTTTGAGTAAAAAGGCGCTTTTAATGTATATACATAATGTATTAATATGAAAAGTATTTGTACGAATTCTATGTCACTGGTTGTTATAAAATAATGTTTTAATAATAATACACGTTTCCGTTCGCGATTTTTTAATGCAAATATTTCAATTTATACCATTCAGAGAAAATGGAAACCTTCACAAAACTGTGAATTAGATTACATTTTATTTTAATTGTGAATAATATAATTCGTTAATATTCAAAACATTACATCATATTTTCAATTTTGAATAGTTATCTTAGTAGTACTTAGTTGAAATAAAACGTTCCAAGCAATGTTCCAAGTTCTCTACCAATATATTCAGGAGATGTGTCTATTTATTAAAACAATTTTATGATTTATTCATTCACTAAAATTACCATTTTAAAATGTATATAAACTCCTGCCAAAACCAAAATAAAATCTTATAATTATTAATTGGATTAAATTTCTTATAATTATTTTAATTATCTTAATTTCTGAATTTTATTTAATAATATTATTAACAAATGTAAATGAAGTAATAAAATGACCAAATTATGCTACTTAACGTGTTGTTAAAAGGTTACATTCTATTACCTATATTTTTTTATTCTATTAATTCGCTAGTTAATCGTTTATTCTTGTTAAAATTATTTGTTAACGTTTTTCATTTGTACTCAATTTTTAAAAATGTAAAATCAATTTTATTGTCAAATTATCCAAAGGCATAATTTCTAAATTTTTATTCTCCCATTTTAGAATTCTAAAACATATACCTATATAAATATAAAGTTGATTTTATATTATTACGCAGATTGAGAATAATATAGATGTATTTCAAGAATTTGGTAATATAAAATTTAAACGAATTTTGTTTTCCTTTTATTTTTTAAGCTCCTTTAAATATCGGAATATAACGAATGTAAAGTAAGTAAATATACGCAAGGCTTAAATTCTAAAACATTTGTGCAAAAAAACTCTTAAAGAACGTTTTAATACCTAAAATTACATTACAGATTTTATCAGATTAAGGCAGCAGGAAAATTACGGCCCATTCATATAGAAATTATTTACATAACGTAAATGAAAGCTTACGTACAATGCATCCAATTAAACCTTGGATTTCAAGCCTAAATTTCTCTTTAATTAAAAAAATTATATAGGGAAAACATAATCCCCCAATAATGAACATAATTTGGAAAAAAATGTAGAATGTTCTGCTGATGTTTGATAATGACAACGTTCGTGATTTGCCTCCATTATTTGAGGCTTAATGAAAACATTGACCAAATAATACGACATTTAATAACCGGGTAATTACATACGCTGAATTGTAGCTATAATAAACCCGATTTACCTAAGAAGTCGATATTTCATTATTTTTTAAAATTTCACTACTATAGATAAACGACAGAATTAAATTTACCTAAAAGCCCTCGAATTTTCTAAGTATAATCAAAAATAATACACTTTTAATCAAACTCGAGCTCTTCGCTTAATTTCCCGGTTCACGACAAGCAGCGTAAAAAATTTTCCGAACGCTAAAATTTCGACATCAAAGCGGGCGAAACTCTGCAAAGTTTTCAATTTACAAAAAGTGACTGCTAACGAAACTGCATCTACTGCTTTACTGCGAATATTCCTGTTGAGCATTTAATTCTTCAGCCGTGTTAGATTGATTTATTTTTACTTTCGAAATTGTGTACCTACTTGTTTCAAGGAAAAAGTTGAGCCCTTTTTTTTAATAAAATGTTTATGAAGAGCTTAATGAAGGTTTTAATAATTTGACGAATGATTTATTTACGGCGTAACACTGTATGAAATGGAAATTCTGCATAGATAATTCCTTTGTTCTTGTTATAGCCATATAGCAGAATGATTTATCCAACAAAATTCACGAGATTACTCTAACTGCACACTGCAATCTATACAGCCAGATAGTGGGATGTTCTTCCACTGCAAACCCTTTATTTAAAATCGCGTAATTACACCGAAATATAACGGAAACAAATGTTAGGAAAACTCATTTGAATATGCAAATAAGGGTAACAGGAAAAACCCCTCATTTCCGGTATCCGGGACCATTCCACCGGTTTAAAATCGGCTTCGTTTTGACTCCTGTCGAATTATAAAACAAATGAACACACCAGTGTTACCGCCGAACAATTGTTCGAATGCTTGTGTTGAAATCGACGAAAATAATAGCCCAGAAAAGGTTGGGCATGGAAACTGAACGTTTAAAAAACTGTCGAAACTTACGAAATACGATCTATAGAAAGTCGATTAGAGTGGAGAAAAAATAGGATTCAGCAATTTTTGTTAAACCTAAAAACCGTAGGAAGAAGAGGAAAATGGATCAGAAGTTGAATGGAAGTGATTTACTGGACTATCTGCGATTTTCAGTTATACTGGGTTCGTTTGGTAAAAAAATCGAATAAACTTGTTAACGAATACGGCATAATTACAAATCAGGTTAGAAATTGTTTACAAGTAATTTTGTTTACTATTCTACCAGTAACGATCGAAAGCATATTATCGTTTCAAAAACAAGTTATTTTAATAAATAAAATAGGAAGTACCTGTAGCAAATTTTATAACATCAAAATACTTTACCATGATCCCACTCAAATATATTAATATCCTATATCTTTTATAGATGCAAAATTATCTTCATATATTCAAATAAATAGTCAGTATCGCATCGACGCGGAGTTAAAGTTTCCATTAGAAGCGAGGTGAAGAAAAGAAGAAAAAGATTTTTCAGGTCAATTTGTCGATAAGTACCTACCAGTTTGAATCAATTCGATCAAGTCGGGCTAATCTAATGGAGCCTCACCTTCGTTTCCTAGCATTCGACATGTCGCCGGGAAATTCAGAACACAGTTAGCGAATTCCCGAGGAAATTCGGAATGAAAGTTTAAAATAAACCGAAAGAAAATCGGCATTACTAATTGCAGTACGTTTAAATGTAGTCACTTGTTCTAAATAAAATCATTCTCCATCACGACTTTCATTGAACAAAATACTAAATAATTCCTAACCCTTTATACGGAAGAAACGCAATTACTATTATTCAAATGGACGAGTTGAGTTGTCATTGTTTGCCATTACTGTGACGTTATTATCCAAGCGGCGTCGAAAAATCCATTATCACTTGAGATGGCACCCCTGCTGTCAACAATGGCTTCGGCACTTCCTCCCGTATGATTTTATATTGATTCACTTGTTGAATCACATGACATCTGCTAATAGGAAAATTGAGAAAATGGGGAGAAACGCAGGAAACAGAGAAATAAGATTTTACCGTCGATCTTCAACGTTGCGTTTTATTTTTTTATGGAAGTCACCGCTTTGATGAAAGGGTTTAATTTCATATTTTTGGTGCTTTTTCTTCAATATAGTCGCTTCAAAATTATTCAAGAAAACCGAGATTTCTTGAATAATTTTTCGAAGCAACTATCAGTTTGGTAATATTTTCCGGCGTAAAATTAGGGCACGTGGAGAGAGAGGGACTCGAATGGCAGTTTAGACAAGTCGCGGTCTAATAAGCTTCAACGCCGCTCCCTGCTATTTTCCTCCGGCTCACTCTTGTCAGAGCAAAAACAAACTGAACGTCGTCGTTGTCGCTGGAAGTATAAACTTAGTGTCATCTGCGTTTGTGAGACACGGCGGTGTACCTCAGTTCGCAAACTAGGTGGTTGAGTTTCTATCTCTGAAGCGAGGACTAGACGCATAATTGCTGTAGCACCGTCATCGGTTAGTACGGGGTTAAGAATTTCTCGCTCTATTTAAAGAGAATGTCTGCTTTTAGCATTGCACTGACGTCAAAACAACCTGAATGTGGTTAATTAAGGCAGGTGCATATTAAGAATTTACTAATAAAAACTCAGGACCTCAAAAAATATATCTGAGTCGACTGAGAGCAGAAATTTTCTATTATGTTCATGTAGTTTTCTAACAACGTTCTTTGTTGGTCTATTTAATTGTTGCAAGAAACGGTACGAAAGCAATTATCCGGAAAATATCGAGAACACAAACTTTGTAGGAATCAATAAGGTCCAATTTTCGGGGGTAGAAGTTCGGTAACGGGCAATAGGACGAGGCTTTGTGTCGCCTTCTGGTAGATCAATGACAGTGTTTGAACGAAGATGTATGGAAGGCGTTCGTCGCCATGAATAATAGTGTGTAATATGTCCGTCTAGATGGACAAAGATAAATCGGCTAATCTGTTAAGCTACACTATTAATTAATAGGCCCATTAAAACTATAATTGAATCTGGAGTTTGGGCTTGATTACAATTGTTGGTGTGGACGCTTCAGGGCTGGTTCTGAATACACGTGTGCAACATGTAATTTGATTGCAAGAATTAAACAATTAAATATTAGGTGTTTATGAAACTCTACATTGTTTTATAAACCCTTATTATTAGTTTGGTTCAATAAAATAATACCAAAAATTTACTACCTAAATACTTGAGAGATTCTTTAAATTTAAATTCCTCTTATCTAATTGAGCAGAAGGTTTCGTACCCTTAAATTTTGAGCCAATCCTGACCTTAGTCGGTTTGGCCGTTTCACTGGAGAAGTATGATAGGCAATAAACATAATATTTTACAGTTAATGACAGTTGCGCAACGAGCACGATGGTCGGGGACAATTTGATTACAACAATTTACAATTTACTCAGTTGGGCATAATGAGCACGTGTAATTCGATTTTGATATATTAAATTACAAACGGAATTGGATATTGATATATTTATATGTAGGCTTTTGGGCGTATATCTAATTTTGTTGTAATCAATCTTATTAATAGTTTATTATACTAGAAAAACACAATTATTTTTTTGTAGTATTTTTTTATATGTTTGAAATTGCTCAGTTAAAATTGTACGAAAATAACTGTGTGTGTTTTCCTTGTAGCTTGAATTAAATTACGCATTCATAGAAAGCAGTAGTCATTGTTATTGCTTTTATGGAAATAAACGAACCTTGTACACCACTGAAAACTAAAACTTAAAATACTTTCACATTTCATCTCTCGGGCTTTTCAGGTTGGTTAAGTAATTACCGTACAAACTAACTTATCGCATCCCTCAATTTCCATTTCTAATAAAGAGAGAAAAATGTTTAATTTCCACAAACACAAACTGAATCGATCCTTTTCGCCGGTTCTACTACCTACATACATATTTGATTAACGTTTTTTTAATAAAAGTAATCGAATAATTTCAGCGTTGATTAAATATTTGCGTCAATTCTCTCTACCTTCATCACGTTAACCTTTCGTTTATTGCTTTCCGGAGTTTACCGGCTAACTCTTGTATAACTGTTTTTGTTTCGAAACAAAAGGGACACAACTATGCGGAACTTTTCCCGATTGTTCGAACGTTGAAATATTTCGCAAAAGTCGTAACAAACGCCGCTAAATATCCGCTCGATTTGTTATAATGCAAATTCAGCAATTTGTTAATAAACCGTAAATTAAACAGAAATGCAAGGGAAGTGCCGATGAGAATTGTCTGTTGTAGTTGATGCCAACGTTTCTTGTTTGCTTTATGCCCGCTACAAACTGAATATTACTTCTCTCAAATTTAATAACAACTCGCGCTGTTTTAGATACGGACAACGTGCAGTAAAAGATGAATTATTTTTATCAGCATTTTACGAACCTGCAAATCACGAATCGTTCGTGCTACAATACGTAAATCCATATTCAGAAGTCAGTAGGTACAGGAAAATAAAGAAATTGTGTTACCCATATGA